TGATCACCAACAAGTACAGCGAGTTCCTGCCCAGCATGCAGAGCGCCGAGGAGCTGGTGGCGCAGGTGGAGCGGCTGGCCGGCAGCATCGACGGGCTCAGGGCCCGCATCGAGAGCGAGGTGAGCGAGGGCTGCCATCCCGCGCGCCCGCACGGCCTGCGGCCCGGGAGCCGCGTTGCGCTGCGCTGCCCAGTCCTGTGGGTAAAGTGCAAAAGTGCAGGTGACGAGGCTGTCACCCCTCGGGAATGCTGTGCACCCGCACATTGTGGCATCAGGCCTCAAGTGTGTCCCCAGAGCCGTCATCAAGGCATGGCTCAGCGCTTGCTGTGCTTAATCCGTGGAAAGGCAGCCCGGCGCTCTGCCACGGGCTGCTGCTGTCGTCCTGCACAGCAGCAGATCTCGGGCACACAGCCGTGCCAGGGCCGGCTCTGCTCCTCCACAGGGATTCTTGTGCAGAGTGGGAACCCAGCGGGTGCCGCCTGCGTCTCAGCTGTGTGCGCCGCTGGGCAGACTGGGCAGGTCCCGCGGGCCGGATTACAGAGCCATTCTCACCATCTTCTCCTTTAACTGGCTTTAAGATGAGTGTAAGGAGCAGCATGTGTGTTCTTCTTCCCAGGAGGTTGCTTTGACTGCCTTTGGAAAGTATTTTTTTTTCTTACAGTGACTTTAAAAACCCTGTAATGTAATAAAAGAGAAAACAGTTCATAGGAGTTTCTCATGCTAATAAGGATCGTTTTATCGAGAAGTAAAATAGGGGACTGCATAAGTTGAAGATACAGTTGTTGTGAAATGATAAAGCAGATAAACTGTTTTATTGGAGTCTTTTTTACCTCCTCCTCGAATTAGTGTAAGAATAGAAATACTTTTAAATCTTACGTGTTTATTCCTTTTAAGAGGAACTGTGTCAGAAAACATCTGGATGCCATAAATGAACTGATATGTCTGCTACCTTAGGTTCAGCGAGATCTGAACGTTGCCGTTGCCGAATTTACTGAACTGAAGCAGCAGCTGGAGAGAGACACGCTGGTTCTGAGTATTCTGAAAAAGCTACAAGAGGTGAGGTGGGGGAAAGTTACTGCATGGTGGTTCTCCTCCTGCAGCATTATTCAGGGCTTCTCTTCGGAGTAAACAACTCCTGTCTCTAGCCATGGCATTTAAAAATTCATCTTATAGCAGATGTACAGTTACCTCTGATTCTGTTTGTTGCAGTTTGATACAGCTATTAAAGAGTATAACACTGCATTGCTGGAAAAGAAGTATGTTGTAGCAGCTCAACAGCTGGAAAAGGTAATAATGGCTTCTCAAGCACAACCATGTGGTTCATAAAAACTTCCAATAAATTCCCTGAGATTCTTTTGTTCATAGGCCACTGGGGCAGCAGTTACCTGTATTTTGTGTTTGACTCTTTCCACCTTTATAACTAGGCACGAAGCAGCTTGAAAACCCTGGAATCTCGTAAGGGCTTTGAGCTAAAGATCCTGAAAGCGCTTGGCACGGAGCTCACGGTGCAGACACAGAACATGCTCTATCATCTAGGGGAGGAGTGGCAGAAGTTGGTTGTGTGGAAGCTTCCTCCTTCAAAAGGTACGCACAACTGTAGCCGAGCGTTGATCAGAACAGTTGCCAGGAATTCTAGGAACCCTATTCAGTGGAAGCAGAGAGTCTCCAAGCGACGCAGTCGCTTCTGTGATCTGCTGTAGCTCAGACCTCGCTCTGACACAGAGATCTTTCTTCCCTTTCTTTAGCAAGCAGCAGCCTGGAGTCAGTGCTGGCCTCAGAATTGTGCTTGTGCACAGTGCCATCAGAAGAGGAGTTTGCTGGCCCACCTGTTGCCTCTGTGCTGCAGGCATTTGCTATCCTAGGAGAACTGCACACCAAGCTGAAAACTTTTGGTAAGGCAGACCTTGGTTCTGGGTATACATAGCTGTAGTAGGCAGGGTGGATGCGAGCCCGGATTTGCTGCAAGATGGTTATGGAGGTCCAGGGCCATGTGAGCATTACACTGGAAGACACCTTCTTACTCTTTTGGCACGTGTTTTCCAGCAAGCATAACGTAAAACCTCTGGTTCTTACTATTCTAATAGACTGTATTTGTGACTGTGGTTTCATGGTCTCATGTTCAGTTTTTCCAGTTACATCCTCTTTCTCTGTAAAGAACATGACTGCTGGTTTCAAGCAGACGTTGAGCTTCTGCATTAGCAGGGGCTTATAAATCAGGAAGCATAGCAGATGCTAAGATAGGATTTAATGCTGCTGTCTGTCAGATTGTTTCTCTCTTTGATTAAATACGCTACTCTTTGTTAGGCCTCCCCCTATGCTTCAGTTGACTAAAATGGGCTTGAATTAAACCAAACTCAGCATTTTACCACGTGCACGTTCCCTGATAGAGGTATTTCCTCTGCCTTATCGGGAATGTCCTTAAATCCAAAATAGCCTCTAGTGGGACCCACAGGAGCCCCCCCCGTCGAAAAAGTTTTTTTTTTTTTTTTTTTTTTTTTTCTCAGGCCAGCTCTTGCTGAAACACATCCTCAAGCCACTGATTTCTTACTCATCTCTTTGGCCATTGGTAGAGGAACAATCAGATGTGGTCATCCTGCGTTTTAAGTCTGAGGAACTTAACTTGGATAATACTTCTCCTGTGGAGGTTTTTGAGAAGATTAAGCAAGTTCTGGAATTTCTTCACAAATATCTGCTGAGTAGGTAGTTTTCCCCTATTGCAATTGGACAGAGTTGCTGCTAGGCACTCAGCTCATGTAATTGTAGCAGAAGCTTTTTGGAACATCTGTTTATTAAGCAGCATTGATTTAGCCGTGTGGTCTAAGAAGCTTTTAATTTGCCATGCCATGCTCTTGGGCAGCTTGGCAACTTGCAAACTGAACTTGTTTGTGGTAAGTACATTCATACTGTGAAAATGAAAGAGAAACTTGCTTTGGCTCAAAAGAATCAAGGGATTCCTTTTTTTGGTGAATGATCTTTCTCTTGCGACGAGTCAGTGCAGTGATAATCATTGCACGCCACAGGTCCAAAAGCTGGGAGTCGTGTCGCAGTCTACAGAGCTCCTCAGTCAGGCTGGTTCCACTCAGGATCTTCTAATGGCTAGGAGCTGGTCTGGGCTTTGCTAGCATTTCACAAAAATAAACATACAAGAAAATGGTTTGGTTTACACATGACTTTTGCTGTTTTTTGGTGGGAGAGATGGTGCCACATGCCCAGGAAGGCCTGGACATGAAGAATACTTCCATAGTAATGATTGTGGAATGGCTGAGAGATGCTGTTCTGACAGGAGGGACTGAATGAATTGGTGGAGGGTCTGGTCAAGAAGGAAGGTGTGTTAAAATCTATTTGTGTTCTCTTGAGTCCAGATGTTCCTCTTGAGTGCGTGGACGACAAAAAGGAATGCAAGGTTGTACTATCAGAACTGCTGGGTGATATGATATGGGAAGAGTTATCTGACTGCCTCATTCAGAACTGTCTGGTGAATTCAATTCCAACTAACAGCAGCAAGCTAGAGCAATATGTAGAGGTAGGACTCAAAATCTTTCAAAAACACATGATGGAAATCTCTGATATGTAGCTTCAACAGCAAGTGTCTCTCCTCTCTCTTTTGCTGAGGTAGAATAACATGGAACACTTCTCTCGTTTAAGCTGTGGCGGAGAATTTACTGCAACATTTACCTTTGTTTTTATGATCACGGCAGTTTCTTGTGTTGGCAACATAGATATTTTTTTAAAATTTAACTAAGTAAAATAGAAATTAATGGTAGCAAGGTGTGCCAAAACAGATTTGCCTGGAGACGGAGTTGTTTCAAACACAAGCAATGTTAGGACAAACACTCCAATCACTTTGCCCTAGGTAGGCTTGTACAAGGAAAATTGGCTGGATTAGGATTACTCTTTTGATTTTTGAGTTAGGTTGCCTGTTGAGTTGGGGAACAAAGTTAATAGAGCCATGTCTTTCCAAAACACCCTGGAGGAGCTGTTAGATTGTTAGAGCCTTTCAAACTTCCTTTCCTGCTTTGCTTTCAGCTGAGTGGAAGAGTTTATACCTTATGTTATTTCCCTCCTTTGATTTTAGAAAATTCACAGGTGCTAATGTAGCACTGTCTGCTTTTTCTCAGGTGATTAAGTCCACAGAGGAATTTGAAAAAGCCTTGAAGAACATGCAGTTTTTGAAAGGAGACACAACTAACTTACTGAAATATGCCCGTAATGTCAATTCCCACTTTGCTAACAAGAAGTGCCAGGATGTTATTGTGGCAGCCAGAAAGCTGATGACCTCAGAAATACACAATACTGTAAAGGTGCTTGTCATTGCAATATATCTTTTTAAATTTTTTTTTTTTTAATGTAGAAAAATAGTAGAGCTAATGAAGACTTGTCGAGAACACTCAAGTCCTTTTTCATGGAGGGCTGATTTCTTCTGGTTATCTGAGGATCTCAACAAACAACAATTTCAGATTGTTTTCTGTTTGTTTGTTTCATGGGTTGGTTGTTTTTAATGATGCTATAGTGAGTTATTCCACTAACGTGATCTTTCTTAAAATACTTGCAAGTTCAGTTTTGTAAGTGTTTTCTGACTATTGTCATAAGCACAAGAAAAAATAGAATATCACTTACAGAGCTTGTTTCTATGCATGAAACAGTGTATAATCTGTTTCATAGACTGCTGTATCACTGAAAATACAGGTGGCCTCTGGCAGAGACTTCTGAAGCCTTGCAGCCTATCTGGAGTCTCAAATCTGTCGTTCAGTGTTTCACTGTCTTGTGCAGTCTCCTTTCTGGGGACTCTAAATTATGTTTGACCTCTCTTACATTCCCCCACAGATCTCACCTGATTCCTCCGTATCCCTACCAAGACTTCCTGATCCAGGGGCAGGAGATCATTTGGAAATGGAGAAAACTTCAAAACTTCTGCATAACGAGATGGTGATTTTGGAGAATGAATCTAAACTGAGCCAGCACACATTTTCCCTGCCCACATGCCGCATCAGTTCTTCAGTGGAGGAACTAATGGATCTGGCTTACCAGACGCTTTTGGAGGCTACAGCCAGCACTGATCAGTGGTAGGATTTCTGTAACAGCAGGTAGCTCTCAGATGTGAGATACTTGTGCTTTTGGCAGCACTAAGCATCTGTTAGTAGATTAAAATCAATTTGGAAGAGCAGCAAATTGTCACAGTTTTTGTGAGCAGTCCTTGTGAGTTTTCCAGAATGCTGCCTTTGTTGACATTGCTGTAATTGATCCTGACAATTCATTCTTTGTGTCCATAAGGAAAATGTGCTTCACCACTCGTAAAACCTGGTTGCTTTAGAAGGAAAACTGAAAACAAACAATGCAGACACTTTCATTAGTTTCTCTGCTCAGGGCATCGGTGCTTTGTGATGTGTTGGTGAGAAAGGGACATTTATTTGTGATTTATCCTTGCCAATTATTCCTTAAGTGTAAAGGACAGTGAGAAAAGGAAAGTTTGGGAAGGTTTTTTGGAAGCTGTTGAAGCTCGTAGTCAAGGTAGGTTTCTGAATAATAATTAGAGCCAGCAAGAGTTGTCATCTTTGTTTCTCCCTTTTTTATCCTGGTTTTTGTTTTTAAATAGTCTTTCAAAAATCTCTTAAAAGGACCATCTGAAAATCCTGTCTTTGATCTCCAGTTTGTTTTCTATTGCCTTCTTCCCTTTCAGCATTCAAGAACACATATATTAATTCTACTAACAAACTAACACAAACCTTATTTTTGTTTTAGCTGTATACAGCTCTTCTACTCTGTGCGGAATATATTCCAGCTGTTCTGTGATGTAGTGCCAACATACCACAAGTGAGTGTGCCTTTGTGTGTTATCTGGGCCTGCTTTGCAAAAAGAACTATGCTGTAGTATCAGCCCCACTTACTCCCCGTTTGTCCACAACAGCCACAGATTAATAAGAATCTTCTTCCAGTGGAAAAAAGCTAGTACTCTTAATCTATTATTAAATGACACTGGCAGAGTATTTGTGTGAGAGGGTCAGCAGTTTCTGAGCTTGCAGTTTTATGACCCAGGAGGATGTTTTTTAATATGTCTTTGACATGAATCACATTGGTTCTATGTTTTATGATCCTTGTGCACATGAAGCTCAAGCAACATGTGCTAAAGTTTTGTCTCCAGAACTTAACAAATCTTGCAGATCGACTTTATCATTCCCCTCCATTGGGTTACTCAAATAGAGTCATGCTTTGTCATAGACATGGGTTAACCTTTAAGATATTCCAAAGTGTAATGTGGCTGAAAATAGTTTGTAAGTAGTTCTTCCCAAAGTGGTCTTTGAATCCAGATACAAAATTCTGACCTTGGGTCTGATCTGGAGATTTTCGTGTTTTCCCTGGGTTGGGGGGGTGAGGGAGGAACTGAAAAAAAAACATTGAAAGATTACAAACACAGGATTGGGTCCAAGTACACTGATGCATTATTGGAAAGGACTTCTCTTTCCTCATCATCGTGCTATAACAAAGTGCCCATCTGCTTGGAATTCCATTGCTAAAAAATGGTGTGGGTACAACGCACCCTTGGAAAGCTGAGGAGTCTCTTCTCTAGCCATAATACACCCTTTCTGCATCAAAGTCCTTTTGCACATCTAGCAGGAGGCTGAATGCTTTTATTCTGACTGATGCCTTTATCAAGCATTGCTTGCAGTCAGATGCTTGCAGCATTTGTCTGAGATGCATTTCTCAGGGCTAGGTATAATGATTTTTTAACAGAGCCAGGTCTAAATGAGTACATTCTTTTCTCCTCCTTCCTGGGACAGAGAGAACCTTCAGAAACTGCCCCAGCTGGCAGCCATTCACCACAACAACTGCATGTACATTGCGCACCACTTGCTCACCCTGGGACACCAGTTCCGGTACCGCCTGACCAGCATCTTGTGCGATGGAACAGCTACTTTTGTAGATATGGTACCTGCTTTTAGGAGACTTGGTAATTTCACCGTACGGTATTTAAATATTTTGCTAAGTGCAATGGTAGTTCATGCTGGCGTTCATTTTGTAAACGATTTAAAATGTAAATGGAGCTTCTGGCTAGAACAGGGAGTTGTTATTTAAGAATTTTCATACCTTCTGTGTAATAATGGGGTCTAACAGAGCTTTGTGATTCTAGGCAAGAAGGTCTTTAGAGCCTGACTCTTAGGTCTGGCTCTGCTTGCCCAGTGCACAGTTGCAAAAACAGTTTCTTACCCTGAACACAGAGATGTTGTGACATTCATAGATATTGCTTCAAGATCAGCTGGTCTCTCTTGATGCCTTCTTTAGGTCACTCCATAGAAACAAAAACTGAGATATACCTGCGTCAGCCTCACAGGAGCCTGTCGTCCGTAGTTACTCTCACCTCTTTCGCATAAGCTTTGCGGCCATGAAAGCTCTACAGCAAATTACTGAATCTCTAACTGACAGTGCAGGCCTCATTAATTTGCTCCATGAGACTGATTAGAGGCTGGAAAGGGTTTTAAAAACAAGTTTATGATTCAGCAGTTACAGTCTGCAAATAGGCAAAACAAATAATGTTTTGCATAAGACCCTCCCTCTGCCCTTGTTTCCTCCTGAAGGGATGGAGTGTTTTCTGGCCCAGATGCGAGTGCAGAAAGGAGAAATACTGGAGAGGCTGTCAAGTGCCAGGAATTTTTCCAATATGGATGATGAGGAAAATTACTGTGCAGCAAACAAAGCAATAAGGCAGGTAAGTAATACAAATCGAGACCAAACACACAGTTGTCTATAGATGTGGTCCATGAGTAGGTACAGTCTCAGTCCTGAGAACTGCAGGGTGCTTCAGCGGAGTTTGCAAACAGCTGTACATACTAGTTTGGGTTGCATTTCCCTTGGCTATGTCTCCTTTTATAAAGCTGAAACATTCTTCTTGCTCTAAGATGAAATGAAAAGTTTCTAAACCTTGGGAATGTTTGTTCCCAAGCGAGTATATTGTTAAGGTATTTCATTTTTCAAGTTCTGTTGCACTTGTGATGAACCTTAAGGCAACCTGAATATGCTGCTTTTTTTCTCCCCCCTTCCGCAAGGAAGGCCTGTTGCGTGCAATAACTTGATGCTTTGTTGGACATTCTGTCCAGCTGTACTTTTCTGTCCAGCTGCAGTCGCCTTACCGTATGGTTCCTCTCTTGTATGTTCTGTTTGATAACACATCAGTTAGCACATAGTTACTGTCTTCCAGGTATTGCATCAGTTGAAAAGACTGGGAAAAGTCTGGCAAGATGTTCTTCCTGTGAATGTGTACTGCAAGGCTATGGGGACGTTGCTGAACACAGCCCTCACAGGGATTCTCACTAGAATCACTGCCCTAGAGGTAACGGCATGGAGTGGGCATTTAACACAGCAGATACCGATAAACCTGTCATGCTTCTAAAAGAATGTCTCATTGCTTAAATCACAGTGGTAGTTTCCCATTTCATTTCCATTTGATTCCCAGAACTGTGTTTAAGCTTTTGTCAGGTTATGTGGAGACAAACACAGTGATCCTAATAAGTTTCTTAATGAGTATTTCTTCTCATACCTTTTCATGTCAAATAATAAAAATGTGTTTGCGCATTTGTTGTAGCTGTAATCTACACCAAAGAGCATCCCCACTGAATTAAGCCAATTATGCTTTTCTACTTTACAGGACACTTGCTCAGGCTGTGCCTGCAATAAACTTTGCTTTCATTGTTGGCCTGGCATAACCTGAACAATATCCTTACAAATTGTTCAGAACTTCATCAGAACTCTGCCCCATCATGAAATGCTTGCCGTTGCATTAAGATAACTGTATTCAAAAGCACATCCATTGATCTGAGGGGACTGTAGAGCACTTGCTGATACTAGCCATTCATGAAAGAGGTCATATCAGTTTGAGAATATTAAGCATGGTCCAGACCACTGCTTTTCATCTTCACATAGCCACTATTTTACCTTTCACTTCCTGCTCCGTACCCCCAAAACATATCTAACTGTTCTTGTGCTCACGTTTGTTAATTTCTAGGATATCTCTGCTGAGGATGCAGATAGGTTGTACTCCCTCTGCAGGACCATGGTAGAAGAAGGACCCCAGGTTTTCACCCCACTACCTGAAGAGGATAAAAATAAGAAATATCAAGAGGAGGTTCCAGTCTATGTGCAGAAGTGGATGACATTCAAAGAGCTGATGATCATCCTACAAGCCAACCTCCAGGAAATAGTAGATCAGTAAGTATCTTACCTTTCACTAGGCCTGGCAGTTCTTCACCTTAGTAATGGGCTGCTGGGAAGTGCTCTGACACCAGCAGGGCATTGCATCCCGGGGACCCTGTTCTCACAGAGGCAATTACCTTTAATAAAGGGGTTTCAAACAGGTTTGAGAATCAGGTACTGCGTCCTAGGGCTGTTGCTTGGGTGCATGTTTGTAGTGCCTTTCATGCTTGCCATCTGAACAGCAATGAAACGTGTCCTCAGCAGCCTAAAACAAAAGGCATATGCCACGGAGAAGGCACATGTTGAATGCAGCTAACTGGATTTGTCTTGTCTCTAGCCATACTGCTTTGACAGGTCTAGAACTTCTTACACTTGTAAGTAACCTTTAACCAATCAGCATCTTGGGCTTTAAGAGTGGGAGAACTACAGTGGTTTAAAGTGAGTTCTCAGCTTGTTTTATCAAGAAGTTGCCGTGCAATTTTGTGAAGTAATGATGTCATTTCTTTTCTGTCACTTAGGTGGGCGGATGGGAAAGGACCTCTTGCAGCTGAATTCTCCCCCATTGAAGTGAAGAGTCTTATCCGAGCCTTATTCCAGAACACAGAAAGGAGAGCAGCAGCACTGGCCAAAATTAAGTAACTGTGTGTTTACTCCTATGTGTTCCACCTTCTGATGGAACAAGACAAGAGTGAACGAAGTCTTACAGCTATTTTTTGATTCAACCCTTTTGTACTGCTATTTAATATGCTTTCCATTAGGCAAAGTGCCTCCTGGAGGCTGGACTGGAGAAAAAAAAAAACATTTCCTAGCTCAATATCGATAGGGGAAATAAGGGAGTGGTTTGGGGTCTGGGGACTGGAAAGTCAAAGGTGGCTACACGTAGACACTAATTGCCTTGCTCCATCTGCCATGTCAGCAGAGTTAGGTCTTAAAAACTCAACCTCCTGCTATCCTCTCCAGATATACCCTTTAGATATTAGAGCTGGTGGGCATACAACCCTGGTCAAGAGATGCTTTTGGTGATGCTTGCTAAATTCCAATCTTCCTCTAAGCCCAGCCTTGGGCAATTTAGTAAATCTTTTATCCAACATCTCATTGCAAGATTAGGCACTGGTATCAGGTAGGCCTCCCATGCAAGAGAATGTGGTGCTGTACTGTGTCATCTCAAGATTGCTTAAGGGTCCTCTGGAGGGGATTTTATTTCCCTAGTGAATCTTTTACCTCTGCAGTTTTACATCAGGGCACATATACCCACTATATCTTACCTCATCCATCCTTGCAAATTGCATATTAAACCCACAGACTTTGATAGCTTTTGATGTTCTAAGACTGCTGAAGTGCCAAATTTTCCTCTTTCCTCCTCCTTTGCTGAGGTTTCCCTGAAAAGCAGATCTCAAGAGTGAAAATTTAAGGCAGAGGAGGAAACAGGTTCTATGTGTAGAAGTAAATTGTTTACTGCTTCACCGTGGTTTGTACAAGTGATAAAATTGCTCTTGACTTTATTTCTCATGGAAAATAGTTTAAAGGAGACTCAAAGTTTTCATCTTTGCCAGCTGTGGAAGTGAGTTCAGCCACTTCTTTTACTTTTTCATTGTGTAAGATGGAGGTAGCTTTGGCACCTACTGTCTTTCTGCCGTTATCTCTTTCCATACTTTTAGAAGAGAAAAGTAAATAAATTTAACAAGGAAAGGAAGTGTGCAGTTATAGCATTGTCTTTCAAGTTACTAATCTAATACAGTAAGTGTTAGATTGATTTGCTTTTTGATTCAGTATCTATCAGTCCTTTTTACAACACTACATTTGTCATAAATAGATTTCCAAACAAAGCAAAACCCTTTCTCCCCAGCACACCTATCACTATTACTTCACCTGATCTCTATCAACTTCATAAAGCCTCATAAAAGAATATTTTGAAAAGGTACATTTTTAATAGGAGAAATGGCCAAAGAATATTAGGAAAAGGGTTGATAATTTTTGGAGCTGCACAAAAGGGAAATAAGACATTGAGACAAATTAAGTCAGACAAACAATTTACCCATACTGAGGCTGCAAATAATGAGTAACTGAGTGCAGGGAAGTACAAGGGGATGTTTACCTGTAGTCTTGGCTGTTAAGACCATATAAAGCAGAGGAAACCACTCTGTTCTTGCTATAAAAAGGCCCTTTTTGTCTGATGAGAAATCTTTAGTTTCACTGGCTTTTGGGCACATTTGTTAAAGACCTAAAAGAAGTGCTGCAGAAGAGATTTTTTTGAGGGAACTATTTTAAAAGCAAAACATTAGGAGCTACCTCAAAAAAAAAAAAAAAAAAAAAGAGAAAATCAGCTACTGAAAGTACTTCAGTGCTATTAGAAAAAATTAAGTTTATTTTTAGTACTGTTTTTTTTTCTTATTCTTAGCACACTCACGTAAGCTATTTCTTCTACTATTCCACTGGTCTGCCAACAAAAATAGACAGCTGGCTGTCCCAGAGTCTCTTGCATTAGCAAACTGTTTTGATTTTGAGAAATGTCTATGTTTTATTTTAGTTGAAAATTTCACCAATAGCATTTGTTACAATAAATCCAAGATGTGGTGGGTGCTACCTGCATGGAACAAAATGTTTCCTACTGCATAGCGCTTACAATCTGCTTATGAAAATTCTGCTCCCCAGGAGCTTAGTGTTTTCATCTTTGTTATCTATCCTGGTAGCCTTCTCATTTGCCCTTTGGTCCAACCCTGTTTGTATTCCCGAGCTTTTCTCCAGTACCTGGATCACAGCTGGCTCTTGCATCGCACCCGAGTCGTTGCAGATCTGAACAGCCTCTGCCTGCAGGGCCAGCTGAGTACACCCAAGGATCCCTTTCACACATAGCTATACAAGAAACCCATATTTCAAAAACACTCGTCCTATGCAGATTGCTCACAGAAGTGTAAGATGCTATTTTCTTTAATAAACTATTTGTACTAGCCAAGTTTCCTGCTGTCATCCGAAGGCTCTGCTGTGGGTATAGTTACAGACAGTATGAATTACTGCTGGACTGTTCTTCACTTGCTATGCAGACTGGGCTTTGCTCTTTGAAGCCCCTCCGTGCTTTGCTTCTAGTAGATCTGGTAAAGAGAGGAGGGAAAAAAAAAAAGAGAGAGAGAGAGAAAAAGAATTAGTGCTGTGGGTTGGAAGGTTTTTCTGGATGTTCATGTGTCAAGGGTGACTATAGGGCAGAGACGACAGAAGAAATAGGGTGGGATTTGTGTGAGTAACATGCCTGGCAGTAGAGCAGGCACAGAGGCCAGAACTCCATGTTTGTGAGGCTTGGTCTGATCTTCAGCGCTACAAGAGCCTCCACTGAAATAAAAAGTCTGCTGCTTCCTCAGTAACTGCAATTGCAAAGAAAGTGCAGCAGGGATGGAGGGGTGGAGAGCAGTTTGTACATAGGTGCCCGATGGCTATAGCTAGAAATTGACTATATTAAAATAACAAACAGCTACATTTC